TTAAACTGAAAACGTTTTTCAGACTTCTTTGGCATAATGATTTATTGGTATTGATGCTGCAGGATTGTTTGTCACCAGAGAACTAAAGCTAGGGATTGACCCCTTCTGGCAGATTAAATACAAATTATGCAAACTGCTGTGGTGTGGGTCATAACCTAATTAATGTTACACATCTTGAGCAGATGATCATTTCTCTAAATGAGAGCTATCTAGCAGTCTAGTTGAAAACAAAAGTCACGTTAGAAAAAATGATGGTACAAGGTTTTACTGCTTTACAGTGTATCCACTTGTCCTACTTGAATATGTAAAAGCTACATAATTGCAGAGTTTGTGTATGGTTGAAGAAGTATCAGCATTTCCACTACATAGGCCATTTTCCAGGGATATACAAATTAGCACCATAATGTAACTTGATTTACAAAATTTCAGTATAGTAGTATGTAATTGGATTTGCTTTAACATAATTAAGTAATGGATGTACTAATTCTGGATAATTTATTGAAGTCATGTAATTCAAAATCAGTTAGACTTTTACTCTGCTAGTGGATTATGATTTTTTGGTATTTAAAATATTGTGTGTGTGTGTGTGTGTGTGTGTGTAAAACGAGATAGCTACGTAGCAAAATTTCCTCACACATTTCCATTAACTTTATTTTAAATTCTAAATCAAGGTAAATTCTTCCCTTAATGTATTCCTGAATCCTATTAGTATTAATGACAGCTATATATGTGCACTGAGTGGCAAGTATACCTCTGTGGGGCTCAATTCCATGGCTGTTCCCCATGCACAACTCCCACTGAAGTCAAGACAATGACAGCTCCAGGCATGGATCGGCTGAAAATCAGGCCATTAATCCGTAATTACCTTAGTATCAGTTGTGTGAAATTGCCTGATGAAGTATTTTCTGGAGAGACCAGAATAGCTTTTGTTTTCTTTCTTCTTTTGAAATAGTGCTCAGAAGAGATGCTGGCTTAACAGAAGTAGTGATTGGAGTCCTTTGATTATTCACAGGGCAGGCCCATCCAGGGTAATGGCAGCGTGAGCCCAGTAATGTGCCTGACTCGGAGGTTATTTATTTAGTGTGTGCATAGTCGTCTAGCCAAGCGATGGCATCCTCAGTGGCGTGATGCAGTTCTTCTAGGCCACCACTGAACCTAGTCAGCAGACATTCATCAACAGTGTGTGTCATCGTCTGTGTTGTGCCGCAGCTGCACAAAGGGCTGTCATGAAGGCCCCAGCAGTACTGGTTGGCTGCACAGAGACCGTGCCCGGTCCGGAACCTGTTCAACAGGGACCATTGATGACGGGGCAGGTCAAAACTAGGCAGGCAAATTGTAGGGTCGGCGATGAGGGACTGATTGGGGATTATAGCAGATATCCATTCCTCTCACCAGAGTGTTTCCACCCTAACATCCTGGCGTGGCAGATGAGACCATAATGGGCAATGTGACAGCAAACATGCAGCTGGTGTTTTAAAAGGGTCATTGTGCAGCAGCAGGCTTAAGTTGGCACATACTTTCTCCAGTATCTCTCGTCTGGTATGAGGAGGAACAGTATTGCTCAGAACTGGAAGCCGTGGGAGTGGAGTCAGACGTAGGGTGCCAGAGATGATACTCATGGCAACATGTAACTGCGTATCCATCAGTTTGGTGTGTGACAATTGACTCCAAACTGGTGCACAGTACTACGTAACCGAATATGAGGTGGCAAGAGCTGACGTCTGCAAAGTTGGAGCACAAACACACCATGAGAAACCTGCCAGTTTGCTAAGAAGATTATTACGTGTCTTAACTTTAGCTGCTGTCTTCTTCAGGTGGGCATGGTAACTCAGTGTGCAGTCTAAGGTCATACCTAGATAGACCGTTCTATTTCATGCTTCACCTTCTGACCATTCAGATAAACATTCAACTCTCGGGTTGCACTGGTGTGATGAAGATGGAACAAACTGGAGACTGTTTTTATGATGCTTGGCTAGAGGCACCAAGTCTTACAGTAGTCAGCTAACTTTGTCTTGTCTCGGTTTAAGGTGACATCAAGCTCGTGAAATGTCTGGATCAAGGTACTGCAACAGATCCCGTCTGCATTAATGAACTTCCGTGACTCCGTTGTCGGCCAGTCATTGATGTAAAAGTTAAATAGGGCTGGAGAAAGCACAGAGCCCTGGGGTAACCCATTGCTCTGTCATCTCCAAGCACTTGTCTTCTCCCCCATATGGACTCTGAACTGCCTATCGTGGGAACAGTTCATTGGCGCCTGTGACCCAAGGTAGCAGGACCCGTGATACTTTCACGAACAGGCAGTGGATCAGCGTCCTCATCACACCACCCACCAGTACCTGACAGCAGTCAGGGAAGCTAATGCTCCAATCAGCGAGCCGAATTCTGCAAGCACCAGCTCAACGAATCCCAGCACTATCGTCACCGAGAAATCCAACATGCAGCCGGTGACTTCTGTGTCGTTGGTCCAGCTCTATGCGTGTTACAACTTAATGTGGAGGGTTTGTTGGTTGCCAAGCATGATTTACTTGGCATTCTTGCTCATCAACATATTATCAACATCATTTGCTTGCAAGAGACACACGTAGCAACTGCCGAAGCCAGGCGTTACAGTATCAGAGGTACAGCCGAGCCACATACATTCAATCCGATATTGCAAATGCCATTCAGCTCATGTCTGCTGAATTCTGAGACACCATCCAGGTTGGTGGTTTCTGGCTGGCAAATATTTAGAAGCCTCTAAGAGTCAGCTGGAACCAAAAGGTTCTACCAAGCCTGCCACACCCAGCTGTCTACGTCGGAGATTTCAACAGCCATCACACAAACTTGGAGGGGAAAAGAAAACTCTCTCCACACATTCAGTCCTTGGTCTCTCCAACTACCAGTGAAGAAGCTAGTTGTGGTTATGTATTTTGTTATATAAATCCCAGTCTATAAAGAACTGGATGCAGTTCACTTCAGAAACCCCATTAAAGAGCTGACAGATAGTAATGACTTTTAGTCGTTACTGACCTAGCCCTAAAGGGTTAAAGAAGTTTGTTTCATAAATTCCAAATTCACACGAATGTGAAAAGAGAAATGCAAACATTAGAAGAACTGGAAGGCTCAGGAGACTGGTAAAAGGTTCATAGAAACTTTCAGCTCTAAGGTTGCCAGCTCTAATCCACTAAGGTCAGTAACAAGTGAAAGTGTTAACATCTGATGGCGAACCAGCAGGATGGATAAAAATCGATGTTTTTTAAAAAAAATTAAAAATTGGACTTTTTATTAAAATCAGATTATTTTATTTAAATCGGATTTTTATAGGTTTTTTTCCTCAAAAATAATTTTATCTGAAGATAGTTTTAATTAAGATGCATTATAACTGAAAGATATCTCATCATGGAATAGGGATTATTAATTCTAATTCTATAATATGAGGCAATATATTCATGTAATGTTTAAGAAAAATTTGATAAGTGAATTCCAGTAGTTCATGGATTAGGGACCCAATCTTATGCGGTTCCAGGGGCTTCTGTATAGATTATTTAGGTTAATCTTTCTATCTACCCAATGGGACTCAGTGCTCAGTGTAGAAGATACCAGAGATGCTTAGTTTTGCAGTTCTCAGACTGTGGATTTGTGTCTCCAAGATAACATGCTTTTAAATATATAATGTTTTAAAATAAAAGTTTTAAAATAAATATATAATATAATATATAGAGGTGAGAAATAGTTAAATAAAACAATTTAAATGTCTGTCTGGTGATGTTCTCTTCCTAATGCAGCATGGCAAGAAAATCCTCCAAATATTAATGATTAACCTGTTGAACTGGAGATAGTTCACCTCCCAATGACTTCATAAATATCTGCTTCAATTACCTTTGGTAAATGAAATAACCGAACAATCGTTCATTTTCTGATATAGCTGTAAAACTAATCTGACAAGTTTTCAAAATAAATCACTTTAAAAATGTATAGTGTGTACCTTTTAAAAATGAAACCTACATCTGTCTCTGAATTTTGAAGAATATGTATTAATGTTATAACAACCAACAAGAATGCACTTTTATGTAGAAATCCATGATTAAATTGTCTTCCTGACTAGTGATTTAAAGAATTATTAGCCCAGTCTACATCACAAAAACTATCACCGCAATTGACATCCTGTATTAACAGTCTCAACAGAGACTCCAAAGACTGACCCCTTCCCCCCCAGGACTGGTCAGGCCCCCCCAAGACTGGTCAGGGTTGTTGCATGGTAGTGTTGGGAAGTGTGCTATGCCATTTCCATGGGTAAAAGAGGACATTTGACTCCCCAGGGTTGTCAGTCAGCACTGAATTTGCACACACACACTCATTTTAAATTTTGTTAATATATTTTAAATGTACACTAACAGAAGCCAAGAAATCCAGTGTTAATGCAGACACTCTACTCGATCCTCTGAGTTTCCGGACTTTTTCATACATTTCATTTTTAAGTGTAGTTTTTTTATACTGAATTTCATATAAACTTTTGTCACAGTATCAACCTACCTTAAATATAAGTAGTGGGCAGTTCGTTTAGACTGTGTGTCCTTGTGTTTTATTACTCATTACCTATTAGTCTTCTACAAATGTTCCGCCTTTCTTTAGTTTTGGCAAGCTGCTAAGAACACCATTTCCTTCCTTTCATTCTGGTGAAGTCCAATTGTTGTTTGCTTATACTACATTAGCGTTTCCCAGAATTTAGCCTGGAGTTTTTATACACTGGGGAGCCTCCTGTGTGTTTAGATTATAAAACATTTTTGTAATAGAACTCTGATAGTACCATGCTTTCAGATAATGCTGTCAAACTGGATTTCAGTATTGGTTTGTCTGTCACTCTCTGCAGTATTCTGTTATGCAGATGTTAGTGAATAATCATTTTGTCCCCTCAGAAGCTATATTCTCAAGTTGTTCCCCACCTCCCCAAACTTAGAGCACTTTTTCCTCTTCTAGAGTACTGTACAATGCCTTACTTTATTTCCTTTTCCTTTTGTTAGGTATATGTCGGTCTATTGGTGTAAGCAATTTTCTCATTAATCATTTGGAGCAACTTAAGGAAGATTGTAAGATAACCCCACATGTTAATCAGGTGAGTATGTATGCAATACATTTAAGACATCTGTTTTAGAGTAAACCCCATCACCCAAAAAACGTTAATTCTCCAGTCCCTTTCAGCAAATCCAAATGTCAAAATTAATGTTAGACCAGAAAAAAAAAAAAAGAAAAAAACACAACTTTAAAATAATTTCCCCACATGGTCAGCTGTCTTCTTACCAGACCTGTTTGTGACTGATGTTGTGGCCAATGGCTCGATTTCAGATGATGATAGTTTGCAAATAAACAACGTTCAACTAGATACTGAGTATCAAATCACCATCAAAGCCACAAGATACTTGAGGATGTACTGGCACATTTATGTACTGCTTTTTAAAAAGTAGAGACCTAACTCCCTTAGGCAGCACTGAAAATCCTGATGACAGTATACAGTTGTTACATTTTAAAGATTCTTTTGGTTTGAAACTCTTTACTCTTTCTACTGGTATTCCCCAGTATGGGCTAGATTCTGCTGTCCTTCCTCATGTTGTGCAAGACTTTATTCCATATGTACTCGCATTCATTTCAATGGACTACAAAGGTGAATAAGGGTGGCAGAATTTGGTCCTTAACAACTAAGAAATATGTAAAACCAGTTGTGGTGGGGCAGCTGCCCCACACAGGTAGCACAGAGTTGAGAGGGGGCAAAGCCCCTCTGCATATTGCAGTCTGAGATATATATGGGGAATGGACTCTCTGGACCCATCGGGACAGGAGCTGTCTATGAAGCCCCAGTATCCCCTCCCCGTGACAGTATGGCTTATACAAAAACCATGCTGACTTTGCGTTCCCTGGTGATTTAACTAATAGCAACGGTGGAGGATTTCATTCAGCTGCAAGCTCCTCTATTAAATCCCTGCCAGGTTTCCACACACAAATCCAAGGGCTCAGTAAAGAGCAGTGCCAGAGAACAGCAGGACTTGCTCCATCAACTATGATTGGTAGTCTTCGCCTGAGAAAGCTCTAGGACTAGAATAGCAGGGGTGTTGCAGGTCAGGAAATAGGAGTTATTAGTAGAGGAGAAGCTTGCACAGTGGTCATTCCCTGTGCCTCCTCTAGCCAAAGCTTATTTGTCCCTCACTGTCAGTAGCACCAAAAAATCATCCATAAATGTTTGAAAAGAAAAAAATGCTTAGGGCTGAATTAAAAAAAAACTGTAAAGAAATTACCTGCTCTAGCCAGCCATGCAGCTGAATATCACGAATTCCCAGAACTCAGCTCATGACGTCTGGGATTCTCTAATCAATGGATGATACGGTGTTCATTGTCTCCAGAAGAAAGGCAACATTAGCTCTGTATCCAGTTCATCAAGTTGGTGGGTGACATACCAGCATACCATACTTTTGTTCTAAATATTTGTGAAATAACCTTGAACTGTGTAACTCTGAAGCCTTAAAAGACCAAAGGACAGGTTCTCCCTGAAGTTTTATTGATCTAAATGTGGACTACATCATCTGAAGCCAGTAGCTATTCCAGATTTACTCTGGTGTAACTGGGAGTAGAATTTGGTCCTGAATTAGAAAATTAGTCACTTTTTTATTTAATTTCTCGTAACATATTGATCACACTTACCCAGTAGGAATCTAACTTAAATATCCAATTCCTACTTTTATTTAATTTTACTACAGTATTACTAATTAAATAATGCATCCTTAGAATACTGCATCTGAAGGTTTTATCATTTCACCGACTAGGAATACTTTTTGTGAGACACTGCACTAGAGTTAATAAGTGTTTAATAACTAGTATAAAATCATTCCTGCCCCTCAAGTGATCACTTATTGCCTCTCTAAATGTTTTTATTGTAGTGCTGTCTGGTAAGTAACAAAAATGGTAGATATGCTGTGGATTGTGTTAAACAGTATTTTGCGAGGAACTGCTGGCTCATTCTTTTTCTTGTCACATTCTGTGTAACAAACAATGGAAGTATTTTTCTAGTCTGTTCAGGTGTAAGCCAACGAATAAAACAGTGACCTGAACCCTGGCCATATAAATATAAACATTAAATACAAAAGCCACTCAAAGGTTAAGAAACATCAAAGATTGAAGAAATGGATGTGTCTGTTGTTTGAACCTTGTCCACAGTCCGCACAGTAATTTAGATCATAGCATTTTTAGGCTGACTCAGCCCAGCCTTCAAGGGGCAGGGTTTTTCTTAGCATGTATTGAACAAATGCCAGCCTATTGTTGTCTGAAAGACAACATGTACTAAAGATGAGAAACAGGAAATGTTCATTTGTCCTTCTTATGGTGGAGGAATTTTTCCAGATTCCACATGTTGATGTAATTGTTCTAAACAATATTTTTTCTCAAAATACGGAAGAGCTAGATCATTGGAACAACAGTGACGACTGTTTGATTTGAAGTCATGTCACATGATTATATAGTGGCTATGTAAGGGAAAACTACACTCAATTTGATATGAATGCACAGGGAGGCGTTTTTAGTTTGGTTTGGTTTTTTTACAATTCACTAGTTGTGAAATGTTTTTCAAAATAACATTTGTTGTAGAATCATAGGACTGGAAGGGACCTCGAGAGGTCATCTAGTTCCCCTGTACTCATGGCAGGACTAAGTATTATCTAGACCATCCCTGACACGTATTTGTTTAACCCTGCTCTTAAAAATCTCCAACAATGGAGATTCCACAACCTCCCATGGCAATTTATTCCAGTGCTTAACCACCCTGACAGTTAGGAAGTTTTTCCTAATGTCAAACCTAAACCTCCCTTGCTGCAATTTAAGCCCATTGCTTCTTATGATGTTATCCTTAGACGTTAAGGGCAACAATTTTTCTCCCTCCTCTTTGTAACAATCTTTTATGTATTTGAAACATATAGTCTTCCCTTCACCAGACTAAATAAACCCATTTTTTAAAAAATCTTCCCTCATAGATCATGATTTCTAGACCTTTAATTATTTTTCTTGCTCTTCTCTGGATTTTCTCCAGAATTGTCCACATCTTTCCTGAAATGTGGCACCCTGAACTGGACACAATACTCCATTTTAGGCCTAATCAGCACAGAGTAGAACGGAAGAATTACATTTTGTCTTGCTTACAACAGTCCTGCTAATGCATCCCAGAATGATGTTTGCTTTTTTTGCAACAGTGTTACACTGTTGACTCATATTTAGCTTGTGATCCACCAGGACCCCCAGATTCCTTTCTGCAATCCTCCTTCCCAGTGAATCATTTCCCATTTTGTATGTGTGCAGCTGATTGTTCCTTCCTAAGTGGAATACTTTGCATTTGTCCTTATTGAATTTCATCCTATTTACTTCAGACCATTTCTCCAGTTTTCCAGATCATTTTGAATTTTAATCCTATCCTCGAAAGCACTTGCAACCCCACCCATCTTGGTATCATCTGCAAAGTTTATAAGTGTATTCTCTATGCCATTATCCAAATCATTTATGAAGATATTGATCAAAACTGGACCCAGGACCAATCCCTACAGGACCCCACTCAATATGTCCTTCCAGCTTGATTGTGAACCACTGTTCCTTGACTTTAGCAAAGCTTTTGACACGGTCTCTCACAGTATTCTTGCCAGCAAGTTAAAGAAGTATGAGCTGGATGAATAGACTATAAGGTGGATAGAAAGTTGGCTAGATTGTTGGGCTCAGCGGGCAGTGATCAATGGCTCCATGTCTAGTTGGCAGCCGGTATCAAGTGGAGTGCCCCCAGGGTCGGTCCTCGGGCCAGTTTTGTTCAATATCTTCATAAATGATCTGGAGGATGGTGTGGATTGCACCCTCAGCAAGTTTGCAGATGACACTAAACTGGGAGGAGAGGTAGATAGCTGGAGGGTAGGGATAGGATACAGAGGGCCCTAGACAAATTAGAGGATTGGGCCAAAAGAAATCTGATGAGGTTCAACAAGGACAAGTGCAGAGTCCTGCACTTAGGATGGAAGAATCCCATGGACCGCTACAGACTAGGGACCGAATGGCTCGGCAGCAGTTCTGCAGAAAAGGACTTAGGGGTTACAGTGGACGAGAAGCTGGATATGAGTCAACAGTGAGCCCTTTTTGCCAAGAAGGCCAGTGGCATTTTGGGATGTATAAGTAGGGGCATTGCCAGTAGATGGTGGTACATGATCGTTCCCATCTATTCGACATTGGTGAAGCCTCATCTGGAGTATTGTGTCCAGTTTTGGGGCCCACACTACAAGAAGGATGTGGAAAAATTGGAAAACGTCCAGCGGAGGGCAACAAAAATGATTAGGGGACTGGAACACATGAGTTATGAGGAGAGTCTGAGGGAACTGGGATTGTTTAGTCTAAGAAGAGAAGAATGAGAGGGGATTTGAAAGCTGCTTTCAACTACCTGAAAGGAGGTTCCAAAGAGGATTGATCTAGACTGTTCTCAGTGGTAGCTGATGACAGAACAAGGAGTAATGGTCTCAAGTTGCAGTGGGGGAGGTTTAGGTTGGATATTAGGAAAAACTTTTTCACTAGGAGGGTGGTGAAACACTGGAATGCGTTACCTAGCGAGGTGGTGGAATCTCCTTCCTTAGATATTTTTAAGGTCAGGCTTGACAAAGCCCTGGCTGGGATGATTTAGTTGGTCCTGCTTTGAGCAGGGGGTTGGACTAAATGATCTCCTGAGGTCCCTTCCAACCCTGATATTCTATGATTCTGTGATAACTACTCTCTGGGAATGGTTTTCCAACCAGTTATCCACCCACCTTACAGTAGCTCCATCTCATCTAGGATATATTTCCCTAGTTTGTTTATGAGAAGGTCAGGCAAGACAGTATCAAAAGCCTTACTAAAGTCAAGATATACCACATCTAGTGATGCCCCCTATCCACAAGGCTTGTTACCTTGTCAAAGAAAACTATTAGGTTGGTTTGACACTTTTTGTTCTTGACAAATCCATGCTGACTGTTATCACCTTATTATCTTCTAGGTGTTTGCAAATTGATTGCTTAATTATTTGCTCCATTATCTTTCCAGGTAGTGAAGTTAAGCTGATTGGTCTGTAATTCCTTGGGTTGTCCTTATTTCCCTTTTTAGAGATGGGCACTCTATTGCCCTTTTCCAGTCCTCTGGAATCTCTCCTGTCTTCCATGACTTTTCAAAGATGAACTTTATAGGATGAACCTTCAAATGTTCAATTTGGCTAGGTGGGCAGCAAAATGTTTGATTGTTTATCCAAGGGTTTCTTCTCTTTCCTTAACCCTTCATCCTCCCCTTCCTTTATACCACTGTCTCTCAGCTACTTCCTCTCTTCACCAGCCACTTACGGGTTATTGGCAATCTTTATCCCCAGGCTGGGCACCCTGAAAACTTAGTCTCAGCACTTCTCCTTGTTATCCACCACCTTCTCTCTCTGACACCTCATTAACATATAATATAGGATTTTCCTATGCACCAGCAGTTTCAGTGCTCATTGCATTTACTCTGATGTTCCAAGCCATGGTGCTAGGTATTCACTTTTGATCAGAGACTTCTGTGCTCCCCTCAGTTGTGTGTCATCAAAAAGAGGATTAAAAGTGTGGAAATGAGGCAAGGAGGTGGAATGGGGGAAAGCAAAAGGGGCTTTAAGTCACATATGCCTAGATCTGGGGCTCTTCCCTTCTGTGTTACCATTTGTACGCCTCCTCAGGAATACTGTGCAATATCAGTTCCATGTGAACAGGAGTGCAACTCCAGTTGCAGCATGGGGAAGCAGCTGCTTTACATGGCATGGTCACAAGGGAAAGGGCCTTAATATATTCAAGAAAATTGCTGTGTAAGTTAATGTAGTGGGTTTGTGCATTAATGCCCTCTTACTGTCTTCTAAAGATGATGGAAGGCTATATATATACATTTTATACAGCAGTACTGTGGTTCCACTTATGGTCATTCTATTATATTTTTAAAAAAAGAAAGATCAATCATATTTTACTATCAAAGAGAAAACTGTCTTTTAAATATATTCTAATCAAAGTTTTTACTTAGATTTTCTGCTTACTTATCAAAGGTTGAATATCACCCTTTCCAAAGGCCCCAAGAGCTGGTGGATTATTGTAGAAGTAGAAACATTGTTTTTGAAGGCTACTGCCCATTAGCCAAAGGCGAAGCTCTTACTCATCCTAATATAATTCTGCTGGCAAAGAAATATGGCAAAACCCCTGCACAGATCTGTATACGCTGGAGCATACAGGTAAGAGAGGGCAGCAAGATAATGGTGCCTACTCAGAGAGGTAACTGTAAAGGAATAGTTCTGTTCAGATAATATATTTGTTGTGCATCAAACCAAAATATATGCAGAAAATTGTGATTTTACCTCTGATCTTCTGCTGCTGTGGTCCCATGAACTAAGTGCTTATATTGGGTAGTGGGAATATACTAGGCTGTCCATGACAGTATCTTTACCATGGAAATAATCTTTGGTTTCAGCAAAATAAAAGGAAATACAAATGAAAAGAGTTATTTTTCCAATATAAATGCTACAGTCAGTGAGTTTAATCATTCTCTTCCTTTCTCTCAACATATAGCACTAACCAGTGAATATGAATTAATGTTTGATACTGAACAGAAAACCGTGTGAAGTGTGTTAGAATTGTATATAGTGTATATAACTGTGATTATAAATAGTGCTGCACAGAAATTCCAGTGAAGTTGAATAGTAGAATCAAAACCTGAGAAGGAAATTTAGGTTCAACTATTGCTCCAAGAGATGTTTTCAAAAGTGATTCTGTTTTTGTTTTAAATAACTTTTATTTTTAATTATGAAAATGATTACATTTTTCAGAATGGGATTGTCACTATTCCAAAATCTACAAAAATAGAAAGGATACGGGAAAACTGTGAGGTAAGATCTGGTTTACTGGCTTCGTATGACTAATGCCCAAATTATTTTAGATAAAATGTTTCGGGTCTGACTCTTTACTGTGCTATACCAATCTTATGCCAGTGCAATTCCATTAAAATCAGTTCAACTACTGCAACATAAAATTGTTGTAAGACAGTGGAAAAATCAGCTCTCTGATGTGCACAAATGTAAGAAATCAATTGGAAGACATAATTACGTATAAAACACATTGTCTGATGACCCACTGCATCTAAACAATTTGATCAAGGAATAGAATCATAGAATCATAGAATATCAGGGTTGGAAGGGACCCCAGAAGGTCATCTAGTCCAACCCCCTGCTCAAAGCAGGACCAATTCCCAGTTAAATCATCCCAGCCAGGGCTTTGTCAAGCCTGACCTTAAAAACCTCTAAGGAAGGAGATTCTACCACCTCCCTAGGTAACGCATTCCAGTGTTTCACCACCCTCTTAGTGAAAAAGTTTTTCCTAATATCCAATCTAAACCTCCCCCACTGCAACTTGAGACCATTACTCCTCGTTCTGTCATCTGCTACCATTGAGAACAGTCTAGAGCCATCCTCTTTGGAACCCCCTTTCAGGTAGTTGAAAGCAGCTATCAAATCCCCCCTCATTCTTCTCTTCTGCAGGCTAAACAATCCCAGCTCCCTCAGCCTCTCCTCATAACTCATGTGTTCCAGTCCCCTAATCATTTATAACAATAAAGTTTTGAGTTTTGTTTTCATTATTATTATTTATTAGGTTTATGGTAGCACCCAGAGGCTCCAACCAGGATCAGTGCCCCATTGCACTAGGCACATAGGAAGACAGTGGGAGGATTTCACTGTAGTACTGAGACCCACCTTTGAGCAGTGCAAAGGGGGCTGCAAAGGCTATCTTAGGGATATCCCAGGTTCAGGAAACCGTGTGTGTGGAAGCTGCAGAGCTGGCATAGCTGCCTCCCTCCCACTCTCCCAATCCTTCTGCAGGAGGTCCCAGCACAGAGCAGGTGGTGTTGGAACCAAAGGGGGACTGACATCATCTCAGCTTGTGACATCCAGTGTTTGTTTTATACAGAATTCTGTCTTGTAATTGATTCTTCCTTTTCCTTCATGTCAGTGTTTCAACACGTAAATTGTGGGCAGAAGTCCTTCCATCTATCCTCCCCCAGGAACCATTTTTAATAATATGCGTCAGCTGGTGCTTTACAAAAGCTAGAAGTTTTCAGAAATAAATTTTAGCCTTGCTCCTAAAGATCTCTCTGGCAGAGACTGGTTAGCAGAAAAGAGGATGAACGTTACCAGAGCAAGGGAATCAATTCCCCTTCAGTCACAACACTGGGTATGTGTAGATATAAATTAGTCACATGCACCACTTTGTCACATTTAACTTTCTATTAAGTAATTTTTAAATGTAATTGACTACATCTGTCTTGCTTTTGTTTTTCTTATTTTTTTGTCTCTTCATTCACTCCACATTTTGGCCCAGCCCCCCCAACCATGATTGATCCGCGTTCTGCACAGTGGAATGAGAAAGAAGCAAAGACAGCCTTAAGCCAGCAGTACATATCTTCAGTCCTAGGGTGGGTCCCCTGTTTAAGTTTAAGTAGGCTGAGGACTGAGTTTATGGCTACAAGGGATCATTCCAGCAGCCAGAGATTGCAGGATGAGGGAGGAGTTTGCCTGGCAGCAGCTTATTCCACTGTGCTTACGGAGCTCTGGTGAGCACTGAGTGGGCCATAGGGGAAGTCCAGCTCTGAAGCAATGACACACTTTGCTAGTAGATCACAATGTATATCCTCCTCCCCAAGAGTACTGACAGGATATACGTACTTTGGAATCCGTGTAAAGCTTTTGGTTTGCTGGCTTGACTAAAGCACCAATACTTTTTAGAGACTCTCTGTGGGGAGGTGCTGTGACTCCCTGGACCTAGTGTCTGTATGTGACAGAGAAGTGATGAGCTTCGGCTTGCAGAGGGATAGCAATCAGGTTATTCACTTATCTTTCCTGATGGCCATATGGAGTGCTGTCACAAGCAGCTTTCATGTTACCTTTTTGTTATCTTCCTGCCCCTTCTGGGGAATAGTGGAGCAAAGTTTAAATGTAAATAGCCGTCACAAGAAAGGGGAAAGGGCCTAAGAAAGCTTCTCAACCCCACTTTACTAGAGTTCTATTCCTGTGAAACAGAAAAGGAATCATTCTGAGGGCAGAGGAAATATAAAAGCCTGCTACAAAATTAAATCTGGGTTTAAATAATAGGAAGTGTCCAGCTTTGTCTCTGTATCCATTACATTAACCACATATGCATTCCCATAGGTGTTTGATTTTATACTAGCAGAAGATGATGTTGCAATTATAAATGGAATGCATGATGGGCAGCATGTTTCCTGGGACCCAAGCTCTATTGTGTAAATTGCAAGGTTTGAGCTTTTTTTCTTGCGTCAGTGATCAGCCATCCACACGCTTCAATTTAAATTTGTAGTCTCATAGTAGAACGTAATTGTTATCTTGATGACTATCAGTAGTTATAACTGATTTAAAATCTGTAACATACAAAAGGAACATTTTCTTATGATAATATTGTCAAACAGATGTGAAAAATTTCAGTCTAAAATATTGCTCTATTGGTAAATTGCGTATGATTTATATTGTACTTTAGTGTTTTGTGCTCTTTGGGCCTGATCTGAAGTTCATGGAAAGTCTCCCATTGATTTCATTAGGCTTTGAACTGGACCATTTATACAGAAAATATTAGGCTACACCTCTTCTTTAGAAATGAAAGGAAAGTGGTATTAATAGAAACACATGATTCAGTGCAAAATGACTTGTCAGGTGATTTTTCAGATGACTTGTTAGGCAGATGGTTAGAAGTGTGAAGGAGAGAATGCTGGGTGAGAGTTAAAAAAACAAGCTGTATTATTATTTGTTATTACAGTAGGGCCTAGGAGCCCCAGTCATGGACCAGGACCCCTCACTGTGCTAACACAGAACAAAAGAGACAGTCCCAGCCCCGGAGAATTTACAATCTAAGAAGTAGTGTGGAAACAGAATTAGAAAACAGAACACAGAACAAAAAATGTACAAGTTAAACTACTCCTGAGGCAGATCTACTGTGGGAATCTTAGTCATGTGAGGGAGAGCAATGAAGGAATCACCAATGCCAGGCATAGACTCCTGTAGGAAATAGGGATATCCCTATTGACACCGTTGCAAATATAGGGTTTGATCCTGCTGTCCTTATTCATGTGAGTGTCCATTCAGTAGTTTTATCTGTGTGCATATAGCAAGAAAGATTCAACTCACAATGAAATTAAATAAAAAATGTACATACACACTCTCCAGCCATTACACAAAAGGTACATCACATCACCTTATTTTCACACCCCTTGAGCCAATTCTCTATGGCTCACTTCTGCACTGGCTTGAACATCCTTAGGGCCAATCAGGCTGGTGCACAGCTATGTGTGTGGGATCAAGAGATCAGGATACCTCATAACACAGGGTCCAGATTTGGCCCATAATATTTAAAGCACAGCCGCAATCATTGTCAATAAACAGCAAAAATGCATATGTCTGTTTCTTTCCTTTGCTTTTTTTAGTAACTGAAATTTGACACAGGAGTTTGTTTTGTTTGTTTGTAACCAGCTAATCCACTTAGCAGAAACAGGACAGATCTAATATCTGCCTAATTTCTCTTTTCTTATTCATACTGCAGTCATGAGTGTTTTGTGCAGCAAGAATTAGTTTAATTTTCTCTTTGGTGCAGTCATTCAGGAAATCTCATTCACAGCACATACTGTTCCTTTGATTTTTTTGCTAAAAATGTGTACATACCGTTTACAGATATATTTTGGGAAATATATTTGCAAGCTCTTATAAACAGAACATTCAGCATATAATCACGTTGGTCTGATATTTTAGGAGTTCCTGTGTCTAGAAAGGTATGGAAAATCTGACTATGATTTACATTGTGTTTAGACTTCCTGATGCAGTTTTCCCACTGCCATTCAGTTTTAGTTATATCATGAAACAAAGCTCCTTGGTTTTTATCAAGAACCAACTTATAGCAAAGCATGTGTTCTGGCCATGCATTGTTGTTTGTCCTTAAAGTTTAGTTTCTACACAGCTAATTGAAATATAGACACAGTTTTCTTCTTGGTTATAGCTCCTTCAGAACTATTGGCTAGTTCTGCAAACATTCAAGAGAAAAATATGCCGAGGCCTGTCTCCGAAAGTACAATATCATTTGCCAGAATTTTAAAGTAAAGCTTACTGGGTCAAATGCTGCCCTCACTTACACCCGTACAGCTCTGTGTTCGAAGAAAGATTTTGAACCTTCCTAACAACAATTAAAGGCCAACTTTTCAAAAGTAGCCTCTAATTTTGGCTGCCTCGGTTTCTAGATGCCCAACTTTAGATGCTTAGGACCCTGATTTTCAGAGTTACTGAGATCTGCAAAGTAGGCTCTATGCACATAAAATTTAGACATCCAAAATGAGAAGCCATTTTTTTTTTAGTTTGGGCCTATTAGTCATCTTCTAAGGAGGACAGGAATGAATTCAGTGGCAAAGTGAGCATGGGAGAGTTCTCTGAAAGAAAGCACAAATAAATATTTCTGCCAGTGAGCATCAGCTAATGCACCTCTGAAAAGTCATTTTATAGAACAATAAGTTAGTATAATGGAATTCATTAAAGAGTATTCAAATTAAGCAATAAAACAAAACATATTGTGCACTAATAAGCTGTTAATGCATTTATTGGGCCTCATATGCATTGAGAGACATAAGAGAACCACCCAAGTGAACCAATACCTCCTATTGCAAGGCTTTGCTTATCGTCACTGGGGAATATTTCAAAAACTACAGGAAATAGTTTGGAGTTTTACCAGTAGTTACTTTGAAAAAACAACCATCATGCCAAAATATTGCCTCTTTTTTCAAGCATAGTGATGCATAGGAAAAAAAAATGTGCCAGATATAGAAGTCTTTGCTTAGTTACATTACTCGAGCAAAACTCCCATTGATGGAGTTTGTCAGAGTAAGGACCGAGGGAGCTTACTGGTGAACAGTTCTAGTTAGGCCAGAACAGGACCTATTTTTTGCTCTCATTCCCAGTGGTTTGTCTCACTGTTCTGAGCAACTAGAACTAAGCCATGATTTCATTGTAGTGTCCTCTCCAGGCCCATTACAAGCTGCAGTGATCACTTCAGAGGCAAGCTTTCTTCCTGCTTCCTTGCTGTAGCTCACTATTCACTCTTCTGAGGCTATTGTACATCTGACATAGCCTCTACTTCTGCTCAAATCTGGGGTCAAGCAAGAGAGTCCACCATCAGCTCTCTCCCTGCCTCCAATAGCGATACCCAAATGCTTAGGTGGGTAGTGGAAAGAAGTTCCCCAGGACATGGGGACACATCATAGGACAAGGCAAGTAACAAAAATTAAGATTACTATCCCTGAAAGAGTTAGAGGGGGGATTTCTTTGTGAATCTAAATACATTTTGTGACAGTCTCACTGTTTCCCTGTAGGGATACAAATAGTCAGTTTACTTCTGGTTGAGTAGGTTTTATCACAGCTGAAAGGAACAGAAATGTTTTTTACACCCCCAAACATTGAAGAGGGTGAGGAGGGTTGATCTCAGGTGTAGTACTTGAAACTGCTTTTAATTGATTTTTTTAAATGGACTAGACTAGATATCAAGGGTATGCCCATTTAATCAGCTGAACTAGTCACTAGACATTTTATTTCTACTGAGTGGCTTGAATAGTATTTAATACCAGCTAATCATAAAATCATGCCTTCTAAATTTACAGGCTGGTTTATGAGAGGTTTCAGAGGAACAGCCGTGTTAGTCTGTATTCGCAAAAAGAAAAGGAGTACTTGTGGCACCTTAGAGACTAACCAATTTATTTGAGCATGAGCTTTCGTGAGCTACAGCTCACTTCATCAGATGTATACCGTGGAAACTGCAGCAGACTTTATATACACACAGAGAATATGAAACAATACCTCCTCCCACCCCACTGTCCTGCTGGTAATAGCTTATCTAAAGTGATCAACAGGTGGGCCATTTCCAGCACAAATCCAGGTTTTCTCACCCTCCACCCCCCCACACAAATTCACTCTCCTGCTGGTGATAGCCCATCCAAAGTGACAACTCTTTACATAATCAAGTCGGGCTATTTCCTGCATAGATCCAGGTTTTCTCACATCCCCCCCACCCCCATACACACACAAACTCACTCTCCTGCTGGTAATAGCTCATCTAAACTGACCACTCTCCAAGTTTAAATCCAAGTTAAACCAGAACATCTGGGGGGGGGGGGTAGGAAAAAACAAGAGGCTGGTTTATGTACAAAATGAAATCTCTTTTTGCTTGCAAGGAACATGTTCACAAGGCTTGGGTGTCAATTATCAGATAGAAATAATATGTATGGGAAAGGCTCATTGCTAGCCCACTTCCTTTTAAGGAACAGTTACTAAAAGTAACTATTTTACTTGGTAATTCTTATTTCTCTAACTACCCTTACACCTGGTTGTCATGGGTGTAAGGATTTTTTTGGTTTTTGCCTGATCATTTTAAAGTCAAGTGCACAGTACTTTGAGCTTATGTAGGTTTCATAATGCTGTTACAAAGTTGACATGTTATCTTCCTTGCAGGCATGATGTGATATGTAGTTTTGCACGTTGTGCCATCACTAATCACCACCCATTGTTTCCTTTGGGAAGCACTAATTCCCGCAGTATCATAAGAATGGAATCCTGTTATCTCCTAGCTGCTGGGAATATAATGCATGTTACCACTGTAGCTTTCTTTCCCTTGTGAATTGTTTTCTCAAGCTTAATACTAAAATATTTAGTTTAATTCATTGGGGCAAATTCTCTTTGTCTCTTTTGGCTTCAGTCATGTTGGACCATGAAAGAATTGGGTTCATTGGTTTCATATTTTACATTTTTGACTTTACAACTAACTTTATGCTGTTTAAAAATGGAACTCTTGTCATTTTCTGCGCTTCTTTCAGCCTTTCTTGAATCAGAACTCCATATAGATGTATTTACACCAATATCCTAATATTCTTACAGTGTTCTTATTTCTTTAAAGTATTGTCCAACTAATCAGAAATGGTGGGGAAGGAAAAGAGGGCAAATGAGCTGTTAGTTTAAAGGCATCACTTGGCATTGCTTTCAAGATATGAGTAACTGTGTTTTGTGCTAGAAGCAGGTGTACTCCGACTCAATTACCAAGAAAACAAGCAGCACTAAAGGTATGAAAACTGAAAGCCAACTCCACTTCTTGTTTCCTCTTATTACAACGCCCAAGAGGGCAGCAGTAGAGGATGCTTTTGCAGATTTTCTCAAAATGCATGTATATGCACACACACATTCAGAGTTATGGTGTGCCTCTTTGATAAAGGATAAATGTCAAGGCTGAAATACACAAAAAGAATGGATGGAATGCAGTAAGACCAACTGTCTCCAAAGAGTAAACGCTTTCACCTTCATACAGACATACATTAAGGCTTAGAAAATTGTTGCACATGGTCACTGTAGTCCCCAGCCATGCCAATAGGAGCTGAAATAAAGATGAGGGCAGCACTTGTTATCCAATATTATGTATTGTGACAAAGTTCCTCCTCTACCTTGGTGGGTCTTGTGCTTATTGGCAGATTTTCTCGCCTTGGAGCTTCACGACAGCCCTTAGTTTGGCCGTTTTCATGAACCCACAGTCCAGGGCAACTCCTCCTGTGTCTGATCAGGAGTTGGGAGGTTTGGGGGAACCCAGGACCGCCCTCTACTCTGGGTTCCAGCCCAGGGCCCTGTGGAATGCAGCTGTCTAGAGTGCCTCCTGGAACAGCTGTGCGACACCTACAACTCCCTGGGCTACTTCCCCATGGCTTCCTCCCAACACATCCTTTATCCTCACCATAAGACCTTCCTCCTGGTGTCTGATAATGCTTGTACTTCTCAGTCCTCCAACAGTATGCATTCTCACTCTCAGCTCCTAGCACCTCTTGCTCCCCGCTCCTTACACATGCACCACAAACTGAAGTGAGCTCCTTTTTAAACCCAGGTGCCCTGATTAGCCTGCCTTAATTGATTCTAGCAGCTTCTTGATTGGCTGCAGGTGTTCTAATCAGCTTGTCTGTCTTAATTGTCTCCAGAAGGTTCCTGATTGTTCTGGAACCTTCCCTGTTACCTTACCCAGGGGAAAGGGACCTACTTAACCTGGGGCTAATATATCTGCCTTCTATTACTCTCCTGTAGCCATCCGGCCCGACCCTGTCACAGTATATTATTAACACACTAAGCTATTAGAGCGGACCCTTTAATTGGGGTTAAGTATCACCTGATTTGAAATACTGATGAATCAAGTACTGCATATGTACGTCTAATCAACCATCTTTGCTAGAACACGCTGATCACTCAGGGAATGGAAACTAATTTGAAACAATAAATAAGGAAAGGAGAAAAATAAACAAAAATTGAAGGGGAAGGGCGAGGTAGCTGCCCAGTCAAGTAGCTTCCTGTCTGATCTTTTAAGAGTGGCTTTTTTTAACCTTTTCTTTTTATGCTTGTCTGTTTTCTTGGCAGCTTATATACTATGTGGCTTAAAGGCATCTCAGACCCTTTAGTTGAGAAATACCGGTGGTCATTATGTTAAGTGCAGACACAAAGCATTTCTGACCAAGCTGCAGAAGTGATTGCATAAAATCAGAGCTTCTATAACATCTCTCCCCACAGTCTAAACTTAAAGGTATCTGTATTGCTTTTCTGAACAACATGTAATAAACAGGCTGTCATAATTATAAGTTCAAAAGCCCTCAATGTCAAGAAGTTAGAAATATATATTGCCACCCTTGTGCACTGTGGTAAACATCATCTCCTTTCCTTTTAAAGGTAGTTGCTTTCTGATAACATTAACACCACTCTTTCAAAGCACTGTACTAGAAGGACGCTGCTCTTGCTGACGTTAATTGGAGACAAAATGGTTAAATCTCCTCCTAGTGCTTTGAAGATCTGAGAAATAGGTCCCTGACTTCAATGTACACAATAGAAGTTAAAGATGGGTCAACCTAGTGGTAAACATTTCGTGATACTGTTTGGTAGACTTGAACTTAATCCTTGCACACATTTCTCAACCTCCCTTGAGAATGCAATGCTTCTGAAGGGATATTTGAACTGTATTCCCTCTAATGAGCTCATGTGATATTTATGACATAAACATGACTTTACTCGCCATCTTTATTCAACAGCCACTTATCCATCCTCAGCACCAAACAGGAATAATTACAACTACTGCCAAACGATTAAAGAACATCTCTCATGACTTGCAAGGGGACCAGGGCTTAAAGGTTAAGAGCTCAAACCTCCAGGATTCTGAGTACCTTCAGAACCCACTGAAATAAAAGCCAACATAGACCGTCAGATTAATTTGGCTCAATTTTAATACTGCTGCATCCCCCACCCAGTGGTTGTTTAACATATCCACTAGTGATAACATCAAATGATCTCTGCTAAGTGTGGACAGAACAGAGCCAGCATTAGGAGATCTACTGCCCTAAGCCACTTGTACCAGATCTCAGTCACCCATGCAAAGAACTTCACAAAACTTTGCTGCTTTTAACATGTTGCCATCAGTAGCCCTCTTGCTCAGCCTGTACAGCCAGCCCTTTACAGGGGCATCTTTGATGTACTTTTTGAGAGTGGACTTCTCAAGGCTGACTGAGAGCAATTCAGACGCAGAACTACTAAAGAAGACTTTATATCAGCTGTATGATAGTTCCATAAATAGTTAGCTCTTCCCCCACCCAATTTTTATAAAAGGAAGTTCCAGGTTTTTTTAGCTAAGGCTTCAATATTCCACCAAGGATGCGCCGACCTTAAATAAATCCATAACTTAGCTATGAAATACAGTTTTTTTTTTCCCTTTTTCGTCTGACTTTTTACAGTTTCATGGTGAGAGAGAAGGGAGAGTTCTTTTCTGTGAGCTCTTTATTCCCCAATGGCTCTCCACAGCATAGATCCATCCCATAAAAATAAATTAAGTCTAACACTGCTGGAGGAATTTGTGGTAAATCATTCAACTGGGTGCATGGCAAGGTTGGTAAATGATCACTCTCTGGAGTATAGAGATGGAAGTCCTGTACTGTGGCTTAAATTGACTTTCTTGGCATAGAAAGAGTAGGCTGTTTTAATAGAGGCCTTATATTAATGGCACAGCAAATGTTTTTGTTAATCATATAATATGTCCAGTGTAGCACGATTATCATAAAATACTGGTCTACAGCTATACACACCTTTGATTTATCTGGAAGATGATTATCACAATTCATTCTGTCTAGGGAATTGTCTTCTTGCTCAGTTTCTTTCAGAATTACACATAAACAAGGTTCCAATTAGTGGCAGATATTTCAATTAAGACTATATTCTTGCTCCTTTGACTTCAGTGTTTAGCTCTGATGCTCTGTCCAGTAATGTCAAGTTTGCTGGTGAGACAGAGAAAGCTAACAGTAGAATTTTGCTGGACTGATATGCATCATTGGAGTAAAAGTGAGTTTGAGAATATCTTTCCACTACATTTTTGTTAGTGTTATGTTATCCAGTTGCACCACTAGGGCACTTCTGTTGTATTTTAATAAGTGCAAAAAAAGATACGTAGTGATGGGATATAGTAAAGTTTCTGAGGATGCAGTGACTTCTGGTAAAAGTATTTCAAGTCACTTACTGAACTCCTTTCAATCCTATTTTCATTTCCTGCTGCTGACTTTCTCTTTTTTCCCCCCTTTCTCTGTCTATTGCAGTGGCATTAATAAACTCAGTGCTGTACTTGTAATTCAGACACTAGTGTGCTAACGCTTATTAATTCTTACTGTTTTGGAACTAAGCTGCTCCTGGTTTCACCCATTTTTTACTGGTCTAGTTCACAAAAATAAGTTGTATTATATGGAAACACAAAACACTAATTTAGGCTTTGCAACAAATAAGTGAAATATGTTTTTCAATATCACTTTGAAATAGAAGTCAGTTTAATTAATGCTAAATTACAGTCTAACCTCCCAGAGGTCTTATGGCACCCATATACACATTAAATAAGTTAATCATGATGAATATTATTATGTTATTTAACAATAGAATGAAACCTGATTTTATTATTTGATAGCATATTTATAGTAAACAATCTATCTTTACCTGCTTAACTCTAATCATTGTATTATTTCCCTCAAACCCAGGTTTTTGATTTTAGTCTGAGGGAAGAAGATCTGGAATTTTTAGATTCTTTGAACATCAACAAAAAACTGATTCACCTAACCTATCCGTTATGGAA